TCAAGTCCTTTCCTGTACACTGGTACCTCCCAGTCTGTCCTTTGGCCTGCAGAGATGTCCAGTACCACCTCCTGGACATCATATATCTGTTTTGTATATGTTGGATCTGTATATATGATTTTGTGCCATCTTGAAGGATATTTCAGAGCAACAAGGAGCACAGGAAGGATCTCCAGCCAGTTTCCTTCCAAGGGGCAGGAGACACTGGAGCGAGGCTCTGTGGCAGTAGGTATTGGCCTGTTTAGAGATTTCAAGATAAAAGTAATATAAATTAACAAATTTGCAAAAACACTCAGAGACTGAGTGACTGAACACAGGCATGAGCTGTGTGCCTGCATGGACAGGAGTATTTCAGGTGCCATCTGAAGATGCTGAACTGGGAGGGGGATATGCCCTGGAGATAGCAGCTCTGATTTTCAAGCTCTAAAGAAAAGCAGGCTTCACCACTAGACAGAATTAGCAAGCTGGGTGCCATCCCTCTCTATTGCACAGGCCTGAGGCCATGGAGGGCTGTCTCACCCTCCACCCTCACACTTACCTGAAGTTTTACATAAGCAGCCAGGTGATTACTCTTCACAGTGAAGATTTTAATAAGAAATTTTCTTGCCTTTGACGTAAAAAAAGAAAGGATTCTTTAGTCCCCACTGGGATTAATTTTGATTTTTTTTTTTAATTTATGGCTGTATAATAAGGATTACATGGCATTCCAGGTATTAGTACTGAGTATTCAAATTATCCTCACAGGTTATAAAAAAACCCCTACAATTAGCAGTTTATGAGTGTATGATTAAATTTGCATCTTAGTCATTAAATATAAGCTGGTCATTCTGCCGACATGATGAGATGTGATTGCCTCCACCACCCACTATTTTAAATATTAGCTATGCACTACATATTACAAAGAAAGTTCTTTACATATTTCCCCTGGGTCTTTAATTACAGCTAGTAGTAAAATTTTGTGGATCCCTGTGCTCTTTGTATCACATTTACATTTTTCAGTTATAGAGTGTGTAGGGTGAGTTTCTAAATAATTGGCGGATCTCATCATAAACTGAAAATCAGATGATGGTGCCTTTTTTCACAAGCAGTCTAAAGACAGAGGGTTTCTGAGGAGTCTCTGGGCTGGGAGGATCCCCGTGAATCCTTCCTGCTCTTGCAGGAGCAGGACAGGAAGAGCTGCATCAGCTTGCAGGGGCTGTGATCAAGTGGCAGCAGTCCTGCAGTCTGTCAGACATCCCAGAGCACTCTGAACAGCCTCCCCCAGGTGTGCCCACTCACACATTTCCTGCCCATCTCCCAAGGGCTCCCTCAGGCTCTTCTGTTGAGGCAGGTCCTCCCCAGCTTTGCCTCCCCCTTCCTTTTGGCTGGCCAAGGACAGCAAGGTCTGAGCATGCAGAGGTGATTTTTGGCCTGCTGAGCAGAGTGCAGCTCTGTTAGGTGCTGCAGCTCCCACAGCAGCACAGCCCTGCCCCTCTCAGCCCTCCAGGGAAGGAAAGGTAACAAGCTGTAGACTGATGTCTGCCATTGATGGGGTTTTTTATCTGCTGTGGAGGTCTGTTTGTTTGTTTGCTGTAGTCACAGCAGGGTTTGTTTTCTGGAAGCTGTTTGTTAAGAAGATAGGAGGAATAAGAAATGAAAAAATTACTGTATCCAAAGACTGTTGGGTGATTACCTCAAGATAATTGGGTAATTAGGTTAAAGACTTGCCTTCATTTCTGCTTAGGCCTCCAGTATGTCTGAAGGTGAGGGGGTGACTGAAGGTCAATGCAGGCATTGCTGGGCAGAATTTTCCTGTTAACAGAACAGATTGCCCCTCTGCAGCTGAACAGAGGGGCAAGGAGGCTGGTGCCTGGGAGTTTGTCAGAATCCATGAAATTATTCACCTTCAATTATTTCTGCTACTAATTGGCAAGGCACTACAGTAGGTGCTGTAGGGCTCCTGGAAGTGTTCTGTGCCCTGCACTGAGTGGGGGTACAGGGAGCACATGTGCCATGCATCTGTAAAAGGCAGGCACTTGCTGCAGCTGTAGGGGTAGGATTTAATGGCCGTGCTGCTCTCTCCTGGATCCATGGCTTTTGTTTTGACATTGCTCACCTGCCCAGTCCATTAATGCAGAGACTTAGGCCAGAGAGTGTCATCCTAGAACCACATTCTCCTCTTGGGCTTCAAAAGATTGTTTCCTTTTATCTGGTACCCAGACACTGAATAGAAATCCAGAAATCTTACCCACTGTGCTTTCAGCCCTTCTAAGCTGTTTTTCAGTCAGACTTCCCATGCGCAGCAGTCAAGGGGCAGAACTTGCCACATGACACTGGTGGTGTGAAGAGCTTTGAGTTCCCAGGTAACCTGGACAGGTTCATGGATGAGAAGTTTACTGGGGGTTAGTAAATGCATAGAAAACTATGCCTGAAGGAGCAGTTTCCAAAGTTAAGCAAATGGCTGGGGGGTTGCAGAAGGGCTGTTGCTAACTGGTCATTTGTTCTCTGGGCATCAGGTTTTGGCCACTGTCAGACACAGTGGAAGGGACAGACAAATCCTTGGTCTGACCCAGTAGTGCTCATCTCTTTGCTCCAGAAGTGCTGGGATAAAGAATTCAGTGCAAGAGGGAGGCTTTTCCCACCCAACCATGTGCTCCTTTGCAACGAGCCTGCCTAGGAACCCTCTCCAGCAGGGTCCTTTCCATGCCCTTTGGCTGATCACCTTCCTCTATTGAAAGTTCTCATGATCCTCTAATGCTATTGTGGTAAATGCTAATAATAGATCCAGGTGACACTGGTGGCAGCAGGTTAACACACAGCACTCCAATGTGCTTTCACTGCACCACCTTCACTGAATGGGATTATTGCACATCCACTAAGCCACGTCTTGGCAGGCTGGCCAGCATCCACAAGCATCCATAACCACTCTAGCACACTTTCCACCTCCTGGAAGTTTATCCAAAATTTGTACCGGGCTTCTCTTGGGATTTGTATCTCTATTGCTCAGCAGAATTGAAATAGAAATGGTTTTGCCAGAGTCATGCAAATGATCAAGACCTGTCCCTGGTCTTAGGGAGGAGAGGAGAGACTCTCCTTTCCTTTAGGTGCACAACTGATCATGATCAATGCTTAATGGACTGTCAGGTGTAAGCTACAGGCTCAGCTGCTCTCTCTGGTTCATCATCTGTTTTCTTTCAGGGACATGTAAGCATAAGACAGATCTCTTTAAATTCCATTTTAGCTTCAATTGCAATACCTAGTGAGTAAAACCCAGCCACCACATTTTCCCCTTGTCCCTTCAGCAGTCACCTACACCATCATCCTCTGATTTAGCATCAGCTGAGTGAAGTACTAAGTCAAAACCATTTGACATGGGCACCTGGCATTTCCTGAGCATCCTGATTCTTTGACAAGGCTTTAGCTGGGCACAGGGAGGGCAGACTGGCACAATCTCTGTATCAGTTCTGAGTTCTCTGTGCACTGGCATACTGTAGGAAGCAAGCAGCCAAGAAAGCAGGCATCTGTAGTGCATGGAGGGGTGTCTTCAGCCTGAGGTGGAAAAGCAGAGAACCCCAAACTTAAGGACGGTAGAAAGGCTCTCAGGGAGAAACTAAGCATTCCATTAGCATGAAAGTTGGATGGCATCAAATGCAACTAGCTTTAGGCAGATTCACAACCAAGAGCTCCTCTTCACACCAGTGTGAGCTGAGCTGTAAAATTTCTTGCCAGAAAACACAGGCTGGAAGCTTACACAGCTCCCAAAAGAAACCTTTAGGGAAGAAACCTATCAAATACAGATCATCACCTCCACTTCAGAACTTAAGCCCAAGGCATTGGAAGTTGGGTATATGGTACCAGATATAATTTTGTGAATTACCTTTTTTTTATATTTCCTGGAGCATCTGCTGTTGGCCACTGTCAGAAGCAGGAACCAGGGCAGAGCAGACCTTTGGTTATCTGCTTGTGGCTGTTCCTGAAATTGTGATTAAGGACTCCCCTGCCTCGCTACAAAGACCCAAACCTGCTGTTCCCCCCCTTGTAGTTGCACAGGTTGGACTTCTACTAGGTGTCAGTTCAGGAGCTCATCATTTGCCTGATGGCAAGTATAGGTTCAGCCCATGAAAGAGGAGGAGGGAAAGCAAAGGGATTTGTCCTTCCATCCCTTCTATCTGTTCCTGGAATGTTGTAATGTTCCTGCACTGCTGTGTGCCAAAAAGGAGGTCAGAAGAGCTCAGATCCATGAAGTGACTGTGGAGTGAGACTGCAAAACAGACATCCCTTTGGGCACAGGAGCCACACCCAGGCATCAGCTCCTGGGAGTGACATGTACAAGTTCTGCCCAATACTCCTAATGATGAACTCTGCCCTCAGACTTCAGTGAATGCTGGTGTTTGTTCTGGATAATGCTAAATCACATGGGCATGCACAGCACAAATAGTGTCTGCCAGGGATTTTCAATAATCTTGAATCATTTTGCCCTAAGCAAGCACCCCTAAGTGATGCTGTAGATTCAGCTCTTGTGATCCCTGGGGTCACCTACACTGCCCTGCTCTCTAGGAATCCCTTCTGCCTGTTGGGAATTAATCAGTTTCCAATTCTAGAGCTGCACAGTAGCATATTAACAGAAGAAATCCCTGCTGTGAGCAGTGATAGTAGGGAAAGAGGGAGATATGTTTTGCCTTAATATGGCCCTGAGCCTGTTGCTGACTGCAGAGAGCCAAGGTAAATATGTGTCCAGCATCACTTCTGCCTGCCCTTGGCCTTGCTGCTCCCTCACTTGGCTGATTTTCACAGACAAAGCACCATCACTTAGTGTGATACACATTCCTTCTATTCCACTGGGAATAATCCTTCATTGCTATAAGCTTTTTCAATTTTCTTAAGGCCTTTTACTACTTTGCCAGCATAGCATAATTTATTTTGTTGAGTGGTTTACACATTGAAGTGTGTGAAGTTGTATTTATATGTCTCTGATGAGTTCTTTCCTGGCTAGTGGATCAGTGCAGTGGGGTTTTTTTTACTGTAGCTTTCTGCTTTCACAGTGCAATTTTTCACCTAAAATGAGACTCCCGACCTGCTGACTTCTGCCACTTCACACCAGTTCAATTCTCAACTCCAGCAGACACCGCCTGGCACCTTCCCTGTAGTGGGAGCTTCTCACTTTTGTCCAGAGTAGCTGAGGACCCTTTAAACAGCAAATTGCAACTGTCCCTCTGAGGTGCTGTCCTTGGGTTTTCTGGCTTTGTGCCCTTAGTTTAAGTTACAGACGTTTTTCCATGTATTTCTTACATATACTTTTAGAAGTTTAGGCTCTGTCTACTCTTGCTTTTAAAACTGAAGTTGTTCTTTCTATTCCATAAATTCTCCTCCTTCTTGGAACATAAGCTTTTTGTAAACTATAAGGTGTGGGTAACAAGTGTGATTAAATCTAGCTGTGGGTGTGCTCACATCAGAGCACACTTGGTTTTGTGCAAGTGCCATCAGTGACTGAGAGCTTGTGCAGCACCTCAAGTAGGACAGAACAAGGCACAGTCTGAGCCATCAGACACTGCCCCAGTCCTGTTTTCTGTGAAAGGATGAAAAGGATCAGCATATCCTCCCAGATATGCTGATAAACAGATTTCAGTCACAGCACATCACTTGATCTGCCATAAATGCCTTTTGGGAAGTGCCCAGGTTCAGCTGAGAGCCATGTTGAGGCTTAGGACCAGGATTTTTTTAATAGAGACCCAAACCTTAGAGAGAACACATATATTTGTCAATAGAGTGTATATGGAGCCCATTGTTACTAAACTAATCCGGTTAACAAAACCCACAGCTTTTCCTAAAGAGAGATTCAGAGGATTTAAAGCTCAGGGAGAATAGCACCTTTTGTCCTTGCCCTGCCTCACTGGCATCCTGTTGGGCAGACTACTGTGACACTTACTGCCTTTTGAACTGGTAGGAAGGAAAAGAAAAATAATATTGAGACTGGGCTGAAGTGTTCATGGTAGGGAACAGGAGAAGAAACCAGGCCTTGTTAGTAGATGCAGAATCATCCCCATGAGAGGATTCACCTGCATTCACCTCAGCTGAGAAGGGTCTTTGCAAGCCTGGTGCACACACTCAGCTCCAGGTGCTCCCCTGGTCCCACCACCCTCTGACCTCCAGCTGCAGGGAAGCACTGGAGCAGCTCATTAGGCAGGGCCACAGGTGAGTCCTTAGGACAACCTTCCCACCCTTCCCTCTGGATGAGTGCCACCTGCACAGATGGCTTCCTCTTGGCTCTGCTTTCTGCTGAATTGTAGGTATTGGAGCCTGCCTCACATCAAATCTGCCTTTGCATTGCTAGCTAGAACAGAGCTGTGTGGCTGGTTGTGAAAGAGCAGCATATTCCCTGAGAAATAGGAGGCTCCCTTCTTGTTTTGGGATCTTTTACCTGCTTGTTGTAAGGGGTTTTTTTAAGATTGCCAGGAGAAGAGGAAACCATGTCAAACACAAAATGCATTGCAACATCTAAAGAAGGTAAGTTAAAATCTAAATGGGCTGTTGGGAGCCTAATTCAAGCAATAGCAGTAGTTGATCATTAACTTTTCCACAGCAGAGCAGGCAGTGCTATAAAAGCATATTACCAAGATTAATTAATCTAGCACCACAACACCTCATAAGTAGGTGGATTACTTCCCTGAATAGGTAAAAAGTAATAGAAAAGTACTCTGTGGAAGTTAATTTGAAGTACATCAGCTGCACAGAGGCCCTCACCTACTTGTAGCTTTATACTCATTGTATAAAACTACAACAACAATTCCCTCTTGTAGTTTTGAGCAAAGCATTTGCCCTGCTATTAGTGACCAGCTGGGATTTGTGGTCAAGACATCCCACATGGCAGCTCATCCCTACAACTATTAGATGTTTTACTACTTATTCCTTAATTAAACACCTCTTTCTTTAGCACAGTAGTGTAGTGTAGCAGCAGGGAGCAGTGACTGAAGTCCAAAGATGATGGGAATTTACAACTATTTTCTTGCCAGAGGCATCCAGCAGTGTCATGAATTAGCAGAAGCCAACCCCAGTGAAACCAGGAGAAGGCTCATAGCCTGCTGAGGTCCTGGATGCCAGAACCAGACAGATGAAGCTGTAAGGAGCCCTTAGTTCAGTCTAGAGGCAAACAGGTTAAAGAAACACAGACCTAAACTGCTAAGAGCAGGCAACCACTGAAGTGCCATGGGATGGAAGGTTTTGGGCAAAGGGTTTCTATAGGTTTTGAAATATAAAAATCTCCTTTTCCAGTTTACACTTCATGTATAATAGAAGAAAAATATCCATTTAAGCCCAAGAAGCATGAAGCAGTTTACCTTCTACTTCCTTTAGCTCTAAGCACTCTGCTGTTGCCCTCTAGCAACAAACTGAATGAGCACCTTCAGTTTCTATAGCACTCCTGTTCCCCAGAAGCCTTTGCAGCCTCTCCCTTCCTCTTCCACATCCCCTGGGCTTTATTTCAGTGGGCTATAACCTACAGAATTCAGCATAGGTTTTAATTGTTATATCCATTTCTACTAAATGCAATAATGCCTTCTTGATTTTGTTTTGGAAGGAAAAGAGTTTTAATGAAATTATTTTCATATCATAGTGTACTATGATATACACTTTGACATGTTCTTCTGTTGTGGAGTCATCTGCCACAGCCCTGTCTGAAATTTGGAGCTTGGATCTTAAAGAGGGCATCTCCTCAGAGGATCTTGAGGAAGAAAGGTAAGAGAATTCTGCTGATCATGAGAGAAAGAGCTAGTGGTGTTTAATCCTTTTGTGCATGCTGTTGCTTCACTTTCAGTCTGCAGCTGAAATTTTCCTGAAATTGTTCACATGGAACCTTTCTTCCTTGGTTCCATCAGGCAGCAAGGCCTGAGGAAGGATTTCAGTGTTTCAGTGCTGCTGTCCTTTGCACAACAGAAGGCACACTCTCCTCTGTGTCTGCTCCCTGACCTCCCATAGAGGTGAGAGGTTCACCCTTCCTTGGAGCAGCCTTTCTTTTGTGCTGTATCTGCCCATGCCCTACCCACTGCATTTGGTGACAGCCTGTGGGTTTGCAGGGAATAGGTGCACGTGACTAAATGTATGAAGAAATTCCTGGGGATACTCACATGCTTTGGATGTGTCCATCAGAGAGTCTTTGGTGTTTTCTCCAGCATGATGAAGCTCTTGGGGATGCTCTGCCAATCTCTTCAGGTGAACACTCCTGGTGCTGTAATTGTACCTGCTGTAGGGGAGATGCCTCCTGCCAGGGAAGTGATGGGTATTTCATAGAACAGATGTGGGTCTGCTCCCCTCACCTGCTCCTGCCAGCCCTGTTGCTGCTCCTTGGGGCAATGACCTCCCCGTGGTTGCTGGACATGGGACAGGCCCAGGTGGGCCCTGGGATGGAGCTGTCCCCATCAACAGCGAGCTCTGGGGAACCAGTCCCTGCACACAGGTGGGGACAGCTGAGCCAAGCCTCACACCCTCCCTCTGGGCCCTTGCAGGAGGCTGGTGTGCGGATGTGGAGTTTTTTGAGGTGCTCTGCACAAGGCAGTGGTTGTGTTCTTCCAGCAGATGCAGGCTGACAGGCCACAATCAAGTACAGCTAGTCCCTGTAACAGTGGGGCTGTTTATCTTGCAGTTCCTCTTAGAGGCTTAGAGACTTTAAAATCACAGAATATGCCGAGTTGGAAGGGATGCACAAGGGTCATCAACTCCAGCTGCTGGCCCTGCACAGCACCATCCCCAAGAACCACCCCATGTGCCCTGGAGTATTATCCAACTGCTTCTTGAGCTCTGGCAGGCTTGGTGCTGTGACCACTTCTCTGAAAGAAGCCTTTTAAATGAGAGCAGACACTGATAATCCCACGTAGCCACAGGACATTAAGCCTCCACTATTGATGTCTCACTTTGACTCATTTATCTGGTCAGAAAGTCTTATGGGGCCAATTGAGATCACATAGCTCATAATTTTATAGCCAGAAATTATTAAAATAATAACAATAAAGTAATAATAATAAACCTTCACTTACTTTAATGACAAATCTTTATGACTGACAATTCCTCCAGCTTGCATATAACTCCCATAGCCTGAAACTCTTCTGTATGAGTCCCATGCTATTGTTCCACAGTCACAAGAGTGAAATCTGAAAAGCTGACTTGAACTCCTCAATAGGTGAAAGTCTTTCTGGGCCCTTATAAGAGAGAGAATTCACTGAATAGAAAAATCTTTCCTTTGGAAGCCAATTTATTAAAATGGCAAAGTCAAACACTGTGAAAATCATGGCAAATTCTTTGAGCCTGTCACTTTGAAATTGTAGGGCCAGATGGTGAGAAACTTTTCTGCTGGTCAGGGAACTTTCTGAATGCTGAGCTACTTAGACCAGACTGGTTTTTTGGGTGTTTTTTTAAATATGTTTTCTGTAAGAACTAAATTTGGATTACCTCTCATTTTTCAGGGGCTAACAGCACGTATCACCTGGTATAGGGCAGCTGCTTGAGGGTAATGTCATGTCCCAGAATAACCTTTCCATTTTGACCATGCCTTTGGTAAACCAAGGAAGCCTGTGAGATTATTCCTTGTCATGTGTTCCTCCTCAGTCTTAGCAAGCCACAATTGTAATGCAGTGGCATGTTAGTTCTGCTTTGTTTGGTTTTTTCCCCCAGGAGACCTGAAGTAACAGAATACTTTCAGTATAGGGCTCAAGATCCAGACAGCAGGACAATCCCTGTCCTAACACAAGGAAGGACTGCAGAATAACTAGTGCTGGTTGTGGGCTGGCTACTGAAGTGAAAACAGCTTGGGGTATGCCTTTAACATGCTCTGAGGCTGTTCAAAACTTTGGGGGTTTGGTTTTGTTTATCTGGTTGCTGCTGAAGAAGCTTTCCTTCCTCTGGTATTTTAAAGGCATGTGTTGTGACCTGTCACTTGCTAGATTTGTTTGATGTGAAATTTGAGTCTGGCCATGGAAAAACACACTGCAGGAATGTGTTTATTTTGCTCTCTGCTGGAGGTAACACTAGTTTCCAGTTCTCTTGAAGTTTCAGCTGAGTGTTGTGTTGTAAATGTAATAATCACATTCAGGAGGAAAATTGGCATGCGAAATCTACAAATGGAAGGCCCAGAACCTGCAACTTTGCTTTAGCTTCTCCCAGGCAAACAGCCACATTCCCACAAAACTCATTGCAGAAATGGTGCTGGAAACACCAAATGTCAAAGTCCCAGGTATGTCCATCCTCCCTAGACACAAAGGCAGCTTGCTGAGCCTGTTGGCTTCCTCAGCTGGGAGATACTCTCCAAAATACCAAATGGATTTTAAGTCCCTTTACTCCTATCCTAAGAAATTAAAGAAATTAACAACTCAAACAAGCAATGGAACCAAAGCAAACCCATTTTTAAATGCTGCTTCACTGCAGAGAGATTCCAACACAATAATTTGCTTTGCAAATGCTCCCTGTTTAAAGTAACTGTTACATGTATGCAGAGTACTCCCAGTTCATATGACAGTACAAAGGTGTGGAGAGCTAATTAAAACAGGTGATACTTGTTCAAAGCTTGAAGAAGAAAAAGCCTGGACAAGCCCTGCTTTTTGTTATCCATGAACTTGTCTTTTTCTAAGTCAGGGTTATTCTTAACTAAGAAAACATTACATGAAAAAATTATTTTACATAGATGAATAGAATGCTATGTATGTATAATTTTTCATTGCAGCAAATCATAATGTTAGAGCTATTTTTCATTATTTTTATTTTTTTATTCTTTTATTTTTCTATTCTTTTGTTCTCTGACATGAGAGCAAATTAAACTCTACCTTATTTCTCTAATTTTTCCTTTGAGGGGACCAGTCTTGTTTTAATTGTACATGGCAGTAGCCACCTGATGACTCTAGTTAGGATACATTTCATATTTTTTTTAAGGAAAAAATTAGCATCTTCCATAGATTTCTTTGCTGTAGCTTTTCAGCAAGCAGTTGAGTGGTGTCTCAAGCTGCCCCAGCACAGGGCCATTCCAGCACTGCAGTGCTTGCAGGTGCCTCTCCTGCAGCTGACAGTGTGTGTGTTGCACTGCAAGCATGCTGAACCTCCTGAACATGAGTTTTAGCATTCCTGGGCATAGCCTGGCTTATGGCCTGGGGTGCGGGAGATGTGCACTAAGAGTTAAATCACAGTCAGTCCCTGGCTGGGCTTTCCAGGAGTCCAGCAATGATGTATGGGGACTCCCAGAGTTAAGCCAATGACAGATTCTGCTAAAGACTTTCTTTTTCTTTGTGCTCCATCTCTGTCTATGAAATTAATGTTACTTATGGAAATGGGGATGCTATGTGTGATTTTTACTTCTCTTTGAAAATGCTGCAATATAAAGCTGCTGCTTTGATATTTTTCCCTACTTACTAGAACAAGTACTCTGACAGGTCCTCATGGCATAACAGAGGGACACCTGCTGAGTATTTACATTTATTTATGATCTTTTACTATGTGTAAAATGCAAATTTACCTAGACCATATTATAAGCACTTGAATGAGAACTGGGAAATCATTAGTGTGTTTTTTCATTCCCAAGAATAACTATCAAAGTACAGCTCCTACACATTAGCACTTGCATTTCTGCCTCAAGCAGCTCAGTGAACAGAATTATTAATATAAACTTATGGTGGTTATTTAGCTGTACATCACTCTGTGCATTGAGAGGAGAGAAGAAAATCCTAATGCTTCCCAGCACTGGGGTGAATTTTATCAGGCATGTGACTGTGTAATCCCATGGCTCTAAGAGCAGATCAAGTCATCTAGGAAGTATTTGACATAGTTCTGCTTTTAGCTTTTGCATTTAGGAGAACACATATCAACAAGTAAAAATAAGACCTTATATTTGAAGTCAGTGTTGAGGACCAGCTTCTCAACTGCTATAAATGTGACTCTATTATTATTATTACTATTATTTACCAGCAGAAAATCTAGTCAAGCTTATGAAAGATACTTAAAAAATGACAGCCTGCAAAAGAAAACCACAGGCGCATTTTGCACACATGTATCAAATTCCAAAATGGAAAATCTGAAGATTAAGCATGCAGACCTCAAAAAAATCACTGCAGAACTGGCCACTGTGGACAATTGATAGCGATTTGAGAGACTGATTATGAGCCTGTTGTAGTTTAACTATATTGACTGGCACTCCTGTGATACTTGCTTTATTAAGCATAGTCATTTTGATCATTAATTTCAGCATGAAACGGTTTTTACAGAAGCTTTTGTGCATTAGCCTAAGTGATTCTTCTCTAAAGAGAGAAATCAGTATGTCAGTGTGGTACTGGACATCTTTGAAGTTTGCAAAATTTAACTGCCCAGATGTTTCATGAAAGGCTTTCAATTCAGATATTATTTTCAGCCTGGCTGCCTACCAGAAAATAAATACCCTTCAATTTTTCATGGAGCCAGGAGAGTCTGAGCGAGTTTTTCTGCTCTTCCCTGCCCCCCTGCCTGGCTGCCGCTACCGAGGTGCCAGAGTGACACCGCGTGGCCAAGGGAGAGGCAACACAAACTTCAGGAATAATAAGAAAGTGTAACTTCTATCCCAAATACACATCAGGACTTTAAATGTCTTGTTGCAGCTCTTCAGAAATACTCTTTGCTACAGTTTCATTGTTTTTATTTTCATACATGTATATATTAAGCCCCAAATACTAAGAAAGAAAATACAATTTTACTTGCTGATCTACTAAAAATACCAGATTCATACAATGAGATTTTAAAAAAAATAAATTACACTTTCCTGGAGTCTTTTAAATATTATTTTACTCTTCACGATAATTTCTCTAACCATTTTTAAGAAAACCTTTTTTCCTTATAGAAACACAAAATAACTTAAGCTTTCTCATCCATTTACCAATTTTATATGTTCTACACCATTTTGGTCCCTCTTTTTATCCTTTTGCCTGTCACCAAAGGATGCTGAGTATAAATATTTTTTAAAATGCCCTCCCAGCAGTCTAATCTAAACCCTTCAGAGGCCAGCAGAAAGGTTTTCATTAAATTCAAGGAACTGAATATAACTATTGCTGTAAAGCCACTAATTATTCCCCAGGGCATAATGCCTGTCACTTCAGCAATTTGGAGAGACCAGCTCTCACCTCCAATTCCTGCATTAAAGGCAGCCAGGCACCTGTACTGGAGATACATGTTTGAGATCACTCAATTAATCTGTTAGCAGCAGCATCAATAGCCTGCTATTGATTCAAACACAACGAGAATATATTGAAATAGCCAGGCAGAAGTAAAATATGCCCAACAACAGAGAACACCCAGTACCCTGCTGACATTTACACATGAGGAGACAATGCTTTATACAGGAATACAGTGGGAACAAAATCAAAAGCCATTACCTGGAATGAGCCATTGATGCAGCAGATGTAAACCAGAGCAGCTGGTGGTCAGAGCAATGGGAAATTCTTAGATTGCTCCATAAATTGATGCAGCTTGTCAGAAAATAAGGCAAGGATCTTGGTGGAGAAGAAATAGTCAGGCTTAATGAAAGTAGGGACTGTATATCAGTGTTTCCTTGTTCCCACTCAGTCTTTACAAACCCAATATAAAATAAAATCAAACAGAGGCAGTGGCAGTGCTGTGCCTTTATGCAGGTCTGGGGACACCAACAAGGAAATAGTGCTGGTCAAAACTGACTGTTCAGAAGTAACCCCAGATACCAACTGGTAAGTTCCCAAAGTTCCCCGTCATTTGGTGCTTTAAAGTAATTTTAAGTGTAGCAAATGCAATGGGACTGAGTAGGTGTCTTCTTTCTGACTCAGCAGGTGCAGTTCCCATGCCCTCTGGACCAATATAAAACTTACACCTACCACACACTTCAGCAGCCTGCTAGCACTCAGCAACTTAAAAAAAGCCCAACCCACTGCCAAAACCCCAATCTGATCCTATGTAAAATCCTATTCTTGTATACACAAAACTTTTTCACCTACATTACTTTTTAATGGTATGGAGGACAAGAAAATGAAGTCAAACACCAAATTAAATTTATCATTTTCAGCTGGGATTTACTTGTTCTCAAGATAATGAGCAGCCATTCTACCAGAGGCAATACTAATGCAACATTACATTATAGAACTTCATTTTAGACAGGAGCACATTGCTTTTAAATAAAGCAATTTCATCCCCAGTTCTTACAACATTCAGAAGAAAGCTACGGCAACAGGTATCAATAAATGGGTCTGATTATCACCCATAAGGGGATAAATCCCCAAAGTGCAGAGCATGCCGTTTTCACTGGAATAAAATTGAGTTTTAGGTGGCCAAATCTTGAAGATCACAAACCTGCCACACACTAGGTGCAGGCAGCAGGGCAGTTAGCAGGAGCAGATGATATTTTCAGTAAAGGAAGTGATTTGCCTCACTGATAACTTTGCCTCACTGATGGCAGTGGAGCTGTGCCAGTGAGTCAGGTGTCTCAGGGATACTCAGCACCTGATCTCACTGAGGCACAGACAGTATTGTGTTCCCCTGCCCCTCCTCTTTCTAGCAGCACTAGAATAGCTCCTTCAGAGCTACAGTGATGTCACAGCAGCTGTTACAGTGCCTGGCTAAACAAGAAAGATTGCAGACTTGGGCTAAGTTATTGTTTGAAAAGCACACTTTGGTATTTAGTACTTCAGTTAAGACAGGCTAAAGCATTCCCCATATCACATTAAGCTGAGACAGACACCAGTTACTTACAAAACAAAAATAAGGCTTTACCAGTACTGCAACAAAAAATACCTAGTTGGCTCAGCTGAAGTCTTTTCCACACACAGAACCTAAGTCTATGCATTACTTCTGATTTTAATGCAGTTACTGGCAGGTTCCCCTCTTTTTCTACACCAAGGTAACCAATTAGCAGCAACAATTACAAATCTCTTGGCCTGTAAAGCCTGTATCAAGTTACTGCATGCAAATGGAGACAAATTAGGTCCCACTTTGTCTTGAAATAGAATCCTTTCACTGGTGTTAACAGAAAGGAGCCAGCCATCACAATCTTCTCCCCCACTGCCTTCAGTTAAGTAACTTACCTGTATGATTTCAAAAATCCTCTCCTTCTCAGTTTTCTGCTATCAAATTACTCCATTAAGCCAAGTTTCCAATATTTCTGGAGATTAAGAAGCACTTTGCAGAGAACAGTGGTAACAGCCCAAGTGGTATTTACCTGTCACCATGCTGCTTGTTAACAACAGGTCTAACACAGTTTTAGCTACTCATGGGCACAAAGATATGATGAACTGGATGGATGTCATCATCTCCCCTGCTTCTAGTGTCCAGATTCAGCAGCTGTAGGACAGGGTTCCTACAAACCTCACTGTTTATAGAGTTCCTATCAGTGCTTCCACACACCTGATTTAGAAATCTAAACACTTTCAATACTTTCCCCAGTGCTGCAAGCCTTGGCCCCAAGCAGCAAGGAAAGGAGCACAACAGTGCCTAGAGCCAATAAAACTTACACCAGATGTACACCCCATCCCTAGTGATGTGTCTGAAGGCCAGTGAAGGTAGGAATTGGAAACTAACACACAATCCAGTATTAGTACACACCTTTGAACTTTATTTGAACATTTAACAATATTCTCACCTGTTCAGTTAAATGCCAGGGAGCTTTAAAAAGCTTCTGCTTTAATTATGAAAAAGTCTGGAGCCATGTGGCATCTCAGTTTATGATTACAATTCCTAGGAGTTCACAACAGCCAACATCTTGGCAAATTCTTGGGCCTCCAAGACAATAACAAAAACACAGAGCAAGGGACTTATCTCAAATAATGATTTGCAGC